AGTTTATGTTAATCTACATTGGTAGAAACGGGCATTAAAGATACTAGCCATGCATATTTTGTTTTGAATAATTAATTATTAAAATAATAGAAGATTTTTAATTGTTCTCGACTTATTGTTAATTCTTTCATTTTTTTTTTGTTTCTTACGAATGATTACTTTTATCATTACATGGAAACATAATTTATGTGCCTCTTTTTTCATCCGGAATATAATCATCAAAAATATACAGCATGTAAATTTGCTTTCACCGTCGCTTCGTGTTGAGGGAAAAGGGTAGACGCGCATTCGACGCGCAGCGCAAACACACAGGGAGGTTGTCTGTCGTCGGACCCCGCATTCGATCTCGGTGATGAATTATTCAGGGTGTCTTGATCCGGTCGGCCGACCGACAGACGGATTCCGGTTCGCTCGATCGTCGTGGTGCCCTGCGATTTTTTCCCGGCCCTCCTCCTTCAGTCGCTCTTACCGGATCTCCCTTCTTGCGAGCGGCCAGATTAAGATCGCAAGGATCGGCTGTCAGCTGCGACGATGTCGATTCATCGGTGATCGTACGAGTCCTGAGCTCGTCTCGTGCACCATGTACGGCAGTCGTTGCATCTTCGCTTCTTCATTCATGCACGGCTCCATCGTCCCCGATCGATGTCGATCCACTAGGTAGACAAGTAGAGACACTTCGAGTCAGAGCTCCGGTCAAGCTTAACCGCGATGCGTAACCATATTCAGTTGCGCTGTCGCAATTGCAGTAGCAGACGTTATGTGGGCATTGAATGCATTCCAAGATCACTTCAGACATCAGATTTTGAAAGTAAAATCCCGAATATGTGAAGTTTCATACTTGACTATCATAATTTTAAATATTTAATTATATAAAGGAAGGATTTGTTTTTATATCACATAAAATTTAGAGAGCAGTCAAAGTCTCATTACAAATGAAGCATTTGATTGATCAGAAGAAAGAATTTTACTAATTGATTAATTAAAATATATTTCGAAACATTTGTAGTATCACGTTGACCGTATAGAAAAAAATACTAAATTTTAATAAATCATTCATAGTGCCAACTAAATATTAAAATATATTTATTAAATATTAAAATATATTCGGTACAAAAATATTAATTTGATTTAACAATTATTTCATTTTATTAAGTGAATATTTACTGTAAGTAAATGGTTAGTTGGCACTATTCAAATAAATATTTAATTATTTAAATTTAAAGTATTTTTCTCAATGTATCTAAGTATTTGTTATTGCTTGTCTCTTGATATAATCCCTTTTTGTCAGCAATATTTGTACAACTAACTAAGAAGCAGTATATAGTTTTTTATTTTAGAAATTTCTGCAGTGTCCAGGAATTATATTGAGCCAGTTAATTTATACGTGATATTATTTTATCGTACTTGAAGAAAAACTACACGATCTTGCAACGAGCGGTTAAAACTTTCGCCAAGTCGTAAGAGAGGACGTTAATGGTGCGTTGTACGCGGCGGGTGATGCTGATTCCCGATTATCTTCAAGTTGACGATTTTCACGCTTGTAATTGGCGAGACGAACCTTTCAGTTGTGAAGCCGAGCATGCACAGTAGTCCCGCACGAGGATTAACCTTAACAAAGTCCGCGGCTTTCATCGCGGACCGACTTGACTCGCGCGGCTTAAACGAGCCGATTCGTTGCGCTATACACCTGACTTTGTCTACGGGGTGTCCATAAAATTTCTACTTTTTTCCATATTTTTTTTTAGAAAACACGACGAGATACGTGCAATATAATTATTATTATGTTATTAAATTTCTACTATATTTTTCTAAAGATATAATTAATAATATTAATATTACTGTTATATTAATATCCTTTTAGTGTTGTAATTCAAATGTATTAAAGTTAATTCAAAATGTATTAAATATAAAGAAAGAGAGATTTAGAAAACAAAATACAGGATTGACGATTTAAAATGTCATTTTTTAACAAGTATAAAATTTAATTAATCATTCCCATTGATTTTTTGCGTTACGTTCTTTATTTCCTGCAATAGGTATAGTATACTTATGGATTTACTCATCAACTGCAATTGTATGGTAGTTCATAAATTTTCACCATTTTCCAATCACTCGTTCGCAAGACTTCCATTATGAACTCGTCGAAATTACATGATTTTCGAAAGCGACGTGAACGCGACGGATAATACTCGATCATGCTGCATCGTGCTCGACGTGGGTGGAAGTTTTTCGGCCGTCAATGCGGATCATCGAGCGCGATCATTTCGCGAACGCGCAACCGAATGACGATCGATCGGCGTGGAATGACGCGCGTCACCTTTTTCGAGGTGCTCGTTGGTTCGTCATCGTTCGTGACGTAGAAACCCGCAGCTGCTTGTCGTCGTTCGTTTATTTGACGAGCTCGACTGAAGCGGAGGGAGAAAGAGAATTAACGTTATGGCATTAACCCTTTCGATATCAAACAATGCGACTCGTACACGTAATATTGCACATTATTAAAAGTTACTTCTACTACTCCCTTTCACAAAAGGAAAATTATTTGGAAAAATTTCAATGTATAGGAAATTCTGTGAATTTTTAAAAAGTTAACTGAAGAAGTAATTCTTTGAACTCTTTCAAAACAAGTTTAACTCAAGCAAGCTTAACTCTTTGCTACAGCAATGGGTCATTTAGATCCGAAAATATTAGGTAATTGGTACAATACGAGGTGTAGGTAGGAACCATGAGGTATAGATAAAAAATTTTGTTGGTATAAAAGATCTTTCTCTATTAATCATCGTAAGGCAAGGGTCCACTTTTGTACTTTAAATAGGACGCTTTAGAACTTAGATGTATAATCTTCGTAATATATACTGAAAAAAATATACTAAATTTTAATAAATGTTAGTATTAACTAAATATTTGCTAAATATAAACATATATTTATTTAATATAAGACATTAATTTAATATCTTTTTTATTGATAAATATTTATTTATTTAATTGGATAGTACTATTTAAACAAATATTTATTAAAACTTAATACATTTTTTTCTGTATCGGTAGTTGTAACATTAAGTGAAAAAATAATTCTGAAACACGCGAGGAAAGGAAACACATATATAAATTTGTATAAATTATATACCTTTTCTACTGTCGAATGAGATGCTTACCATCATCCGTGAACACCCGTTACACATCTACGTTCGTAGGCATGCAAAGATTGGCGGCTTCCCCTCACGCGCGTCTTTTAAGGTTCTTTTCGCCGCCTAATTGTATCGGGTGTCTTAATCAGCGTGTAAGCTACTAAGGCCACAAGGCTAAAAGTGAACGAGAAAGAGAGGAGAAGGAGCCCACCTCCGCATGGTAAGCCACCGTTCTGCATCTCAAAGGCGCAATTTAAAAAGTATGTTAAGTCGCCGCCATTATGCTCGATGTACTTATCCGCCTCGAGATCCCGTCAGACATGAATTTAGATTATGGCTCGGTATTGTGCGCCTCTTTTTCTTCTCTCTTTTATAAAATTCGAATAGAACCTGGAAGCTACTCTTAGCACATCTCACTCTTTCGAAAGACAAAGAACAGTTTTTTGCTCAAGCCTGCCATAAAACCAGAATAATGTTGAACAAATTTATTAAGATCTTTAATTTGTGCATTTTTTTCGAAGATTGGCTTTTTTGCTTAATACTATTATGAATTCTGTATTATTAAGAAATAGAATTTCTGTCAGCTGATTGTGTATTTATTTATTATAACTTAAATCGAAAAATAATTTTTTAACAACATTCTTGTAATCAGGATTTAATTTATTATTGAAAACTTTTTTTTTTTTTCATATAAATCTTTTTTTCTTTTCCGTTACTCATATATAATTTCTATGATAAAAAATTCTAACGTTTAACTTTGAAATATATTTGAAATTAAAATCTAATGAAATTTTTTATTATCTGATATTCAAATATCGATTCATATTCCGAATATGAATTTCGATAGGCAGAGATGAAGGGATAGGAATGTATAGGCGATCACACGGGGAGTTAAAGGGGGTTGACGGTCGACAGGTCGGCACGTGCTGAATGTATACTAAAAAGCAATAAACTCCTTCGGGAACTTATCTCGTAATGACAACGCGTAATATCTACATGGGATCATAATAAAGCCACCGGGAGGCAAAACGACGAGGGCCTTTGAGGGCATATTGGTGCTCCACCTTTTGATCCTGCTCGCTAATTCGCTACGTATATTTAGGGATGTACGAGTCGCACGAGTACGACGCGTAATTGAATCGAGCAAGCGGAAAGTTTTATGAACCTTTTGAGAACTTAGTGACTGATAATTGAAAACTATGAATTTCGAAACATTAAATTTAAAAAGTACATTTGATAGAGAATTATTATAAATATTAATTAATTGATGTATCAGTAATTTCATGAAGATTTAATTAATATTCTATCGGCTTAAATAACTAATTACGTTCGCAAATTAATGCATGACATGATAACATCTTTTACTAAAGACGCAAATGCGAAATAATTTTTATTTTCTCTCAATTGTGTTTTTCAATTATCTCTCCCAACCTTTTCTATTTTTATTAATATTTTAAAATGTAATGTACTCATTTTTTCATCTTACTGCACGATTTTTTCTATACGTACTTAGTTTTATTGTTCATTGATGATTATTATTAATTTTATTACTAAGTCAGTGAAACACAACAAATAACAATAAAATTTAATCATACACTTTTTGGTATCTTAAATATTTATTGAATATATTGGGGAAATCTCATTAAAGACTCCATTAATTGAAAATGATAATATCCGAACGAAGGACTTCTCGGGACTTTCAGGTTTCAAGAAAAGATCTAATTATTCCACCGTCATTCGCGGTGTCTAGCTGAAAGTGTCGTCGGGTGTTGCCTTCCGCTGTGCATGATAAACTCTTGTTAATTGATAATTTTGTGTCTGCTTATCTTAATGAGATGACGATGACTGATGCCACTGTTATATGGGTGATTCTAGTGGGGCCTGTGTTCGGGGGCCGATGCGGCGCGGAGGCGCTCGGTCTGGGGCTGGGGCTGTCGCCGGGCCCGGCCTACAGGTTCGCTCTGCCCCCGGGACTCGCTGCCAAGACCACCCGCTGCCTTGTATTCGACCAAGGTAGGCCTACCAGCCATCTTCATTGCCGCGGCAGTCATACCTTTGACCCTTTCGCGTTTGTATTTGTTTGCTGGATTCTTTTCCCGAGTTGTTTTAGCCATTTGTTTGTTATGGTCTTTGTAGAAAAAAAAACATATATACATATCAGTGACAAAATCAAATTTCTCTCAAGAAAATTGGCATAAAAACCGAAAGGGTTAATGAGAATGATTCTTCTTTATATTTATATGCGAGAGTATAGCTGTGTAATTATATTGCGCATCTTTATGCGAAAATACAGGAGATGGGTCAAGTTAAAACTTTACATAAGCATAACGTTACATTGCGCGAGACTGTTTTATTTTATTTAAACGCAAATGAAGAGGAATCAGCACGACTAAATTTATTCGAAATGAAAACTTATTTTCGACTTATACCATGGTCAAATATTCCCGAGCGAGAACGGACGAATGAAAGCATAATTAACGTGAAGAACGACCTGCTCGCGTCGATAATCAGATCCGAAATGCATAATTAATTTTCGTTAAATAGCGTCTAGTTGCATCGGTAATTTTCGGCGAATCGCGTAATGAAAAAATAATAATAACAGGTAATTTGATCGAAGCAATTTTGGTAAGAGTAATTTTAATTTAATTATATTGATTGCAATTTAGTTCGATTCATCACAATCATTAAAATTTATGAGGTTATTTCAACTGAATTATTTTGATTAAATTAACGTTATTTTATTTGTAGTTACTATATAGAATGTCAGTCATTACTTTCATACTTTCTCTCTGTTAATTAGAATAGAAAAACTTAAGATAAAAGCGCCAAAGTTACTATGCCATCGAGCTGTAAATGATAAAAATTGATCAATGTTATCGTATATAATTTACGCGTCCAAATATATACGTATAATTTATTATTACTATTACATTTATTTCAAAATTTTATATCTTGAAAGAGAAAACATTGTTTTAAATCATAATATAATAAATTGTAGTAAATCACGAAAATGAATCGCTACATTTTTTTATGGTGACTTAATCTCACTTTCTTGATCGATTAAAATTATAATTCTTGATTAATCGAAATCACACAATTTTTACTTTTTTCATGTAGAAATTCGGAAAAAAATGATAAATCTACGAATATTTTTTTAATTATAACGAAGGCTTTATTCTTCAAATGTCAGATTTTATTTATAATGATCTATTCATCAAAATTAATTTGCAAGAAACAGAATATATTTGGGATTAAAGCGTTAAATATTTCAAAGCAATAATGGCTAGTAAACTTTGATGTTTGTCAAGCAAGACCATCCATGTTGTCACTCGCACGTCGAGATTAGCAGGCAGTAATGCGTGTGTCACATAATCTCTCGAAACGCAATCGGCTGAGAGAAAACGCAATCTCTTCTAAAAAATTAATGATTGCTAATACGTGTAATTAATTGTTTCATAATTAATGATTTATGGTAATACTGAGATAGCAGGAACGATTTATTAATTTCATCATCAAATCATAGAAATCGCATAGAAACCAATGCAACGAAAATTAATAAATATACGTTTTGTTGGAACATTTAATTATTTCTTTAATATTTATGCATACATCTCCGCGTTGTGCTTCGCAATTTTTGCAGATTAAAATGTAATTTGTTTATTTGGATTGAAAACAATAATGTAACGCACATAAACCGCTAAAATGAATCAGATAACGCACGCAGAAAAGTAGTTGTAATCGTTAATAATTTATTTGAGATGTACGAAATGAAATATTTGACATACTTTGCGGTGTCCGTTAAATGACTCGTACGTTGAATTCGGAGAATTGCCTGACGTGTGACGTTCAATGATTGGTATTATTGTTTTACGCAAGGTCGCGCGCGTTATCATTCATGTGGTGTTATCCGAATCAGTATGTAACAGCACGAATCATTCCATGTGTCGCACTGTTTCTCGAGACGCGATTATTACAACGATTACATTACTTTGCGTAATTAATTAGCTACCGCGATTCGTAAGCGTATTGACGTGACGGCTATTGAGATGGATATTTTATCCTATTCATTCATGTAAAATAGCAAACGAAGCAGACTAGCAGACTTCCTTACAATTCATTATGATATCAATGCTAATTTTAGATATTTTGGTTGTTAAAATGAATAATGCGAAATCAATTTCCTGCTAGTCAAGCAGTATTTAATTAATTATATTACACCTAATTAATATAATATAATAATCCCATAATTTCATAATTCCGTTGACAGTCGTCTCGGATGTTGTATGAATTGCAACTTTGTATTCTTCGTACTATTCTTTCTCCATACGCGTTGAAAGTAGTGCACAAAGTATCGTGTGATAATCTTATGCTGATAATTATTGCCGTGATTATAATTAATTTTTGCGAGTGAATTTGATGTGAGTGCTACGAAGAAACAAAAAGAAGAAATGAATCATCGAATGATAGCACATATATTCAGGTGAGTTATCTATTATATTATTTATTTTGTTTAATACTATATAAAGAGAATGTTTTCTTTTAATTTGAAATAAATGTGTATCAAAAATGTATATATAATAAGTGCAAAAAGTATTCGTACAGAGAAAATATTTTTTTTAAAAATTTATTTTTAAAAAGTAAATAATTGACATTCATTTCTTGCGAGGTAATTAACGATTTATTCATAAAGAATAAAATAAACTATATGTTTCTTAAAATTATACATATCAAAAAACTGTGTATTAATTATAGAAAATATATTATCTGAAAAATAAACGAAAATTAAAAATTTTATTGTTTGGATACTCAAAAAGTATTCGTTCAGTCGAGAAATTTAGAATCAGGAATACATGCGAAGCTCGTTTGTTTATGTTATATAATTAATATTCATTTTTTACAAATAAGACTTTTATAAAAAAAATTTCCTTGTACGAACTTTTTGTATATATATTACATATTTTAAAAAATTGATTTAAGAACATAAAAATATATATACGAGGACTTCTCAAGTAAAGTTTTTTGTGTTATTTTATGATGTTATCCTATTTATCCGCCATTATATCATGTGCAATCGGTATCGTATTGCAACATTGTGCAATGCAATGCACATTTGCGGTGCACTGGCGCATCAGGTGCGCCGGCACGCAGCTGGCGAAAGGCTCCGGTGGTGGTGGACGTGCTACTACGGGTCTTAGGAGATTTGTGGACAGGAAGATGATCGTAGCTCGTGGGCTTAGTTCGTGCAAACGCACAAGTCGATCTGGTAGCTGGATTTGCGGGTTCGATGGACCGTCGCGACCGACTGGCCGGCACGCCGAATTCGCGGGAACGAACGGACAACGGATCGATAACTTGACTCGCCGCAGCGGTGCGGCAGCTCCCGACTTAAGCCCGAAATCGATCGGAATCAGTATCTACCTTAGCCATTCCCTGATTCTACCCTGTTAATTGGCCGGCTCTGCGTCCCTCAAGATTAATGACTTTCATAAGGTGAATGCACCGGTATCTGACGCTTTGAACCAGTGACTCTCAGCCGCATCAAGTCTTCCGGGAATTGTAATTGTCACGAAGAGGAAATAACTTATTCTATTCTGTATACATGTACATATTGATGAAAAAATGAAATATTATTTGCACATTGTCAAAATAATAATCATGTTAATAATATTAACAATAAAATGCGTAGCATAAAAAGCAAATTTGGATATTGTTTATCGAGAAAATTGATTATTGTTTTATCGAACATGTATTTATTCTCATATATAAAAAACATACAACAATTAATATGTCGCCGTTTAATCGTCACCATTCATTCGGTTTGCAATAAATAGCGCGATCGAGATGCCACTGGAAGTAGAGAACGATGGTTAATGGTGAAAGTTAAACGGTGACATGTCCGGAATATTGTAGAATACATATGTTCCAAATTTTTCATCCCCGCACGCACGCACAACACACGTTCTATAGTAATTCCTAGTTTTATTGTCGTGAAAAGTGCGTATTTGCTGTTAATTTAGCGAACTTGCTAAAACCTAACTGACATAACATTAATTTGACATGAATGTTGCTAAAAATATCTCGTATACATTAAAAATCTTCTAATAATAGTAGATAATTAAAAGGAGTTAATTTTTAATTTTCTCATGTCGCATTATCATTATTTCTTATATTTTTATCTTTAAATGATTTTATTTTATTTTTTTATAATGCTCGCGATATGCTATTTATTGTATCTGTAAGAGACAATATTTCTCTTAGTTACTTTACTACTTATTTTATTATTTTTTTTCAGGTAATAATGTTATAAAAAAATAATACTTTCAAATAGTAGCAATTTTCGTAACAATTTTCTTATGGAATTTCTTGGAACATTCTCGGTTGATTATATTTGTCGTTGGTAAAATCTCTTACGTTACCTAAGTTCTTTTGTAACATTCTGATTCTTCTGAACATTAATGCATAATGCATTGCGCGAGCTCTAATTTTTCGGTACGACCGAGCACTCGACACGATCGCCAATTAAACCGTTTTGCGGCGTGTCTTTCACCCCAAGAGAGAAGAGAATGTTGCAACGTTTTGAGGGCTCCGTTACGAGTGGCTCGCGGTCGAACCAGGGAATATATAAATTTTAACGGCGACTAACGTCGCTCTTTAATACCTGCGCGGGCCAGTTTCGGTTGGAAGTTAGTGCCTTTCCTAGTACAGCGATGATCCTCTTCTTGCGGTACTTGATGATCTTTTTCTTGCTCATAATTGTCGTCGGCGACCGGCGTTCGCGGCTTGTAATCAAATCTTCTTGCTCCCCAAAACCGACTTTTAACCCTTAACTAGCGACATAAATATGTGACTGATAGTCCTTTTTGTAGCTGTAGAATTTTTTAAAAGTATAATACTTAGAGCGGTTTCCTTTCCGGAAACTTGTAAAAATATCCTTTAAATAGAACACGTGGACGAAAGTATTTTTTGTACATATTATATTATTTACATAATATAATTTGATATTCAAAGCTTAA